CGATTAATTGAGGAGGGGGTGTAGTCCTAACAACCCGTGCTGTAATGAGCTGTATCTTTGTTAAAGCACTAACTTAAAGCTCCAGTGAGTGAGCCAGCAGCTGCTTCTCTGTGTGCCCGTGCCGCCTCTTACCAACTAACTTTCAGGAAGTTATAATAATAGTTTTGCTTTTTATGAAAAAATAACCAAAAAAAAAAGGAAAGGAAAGGAAATGCAACTAGTGCTCGTGCTGAGAGGAACAAGTGAAGTTGTCTAATACGTTTCTGTGAGAGACACGTGTTATCAGCGGAGTCACGAGTTGGAAGGTTAATAGCTAACATCCATGGAAACCTCACTGTGGGCAAGACTCTGTTGGTTTTCACATACATTTTCTCATTTAACCCTTTCATGACCCAATTATTTTTTCTTTTTAATTTTCTATTGGTACAATGGGTTTTTGGAGCCCTGGTGGCACAGGGGTGAAGAGCTATGGGCTGCTAACCAAAAAGTTGGCGGTTCGAATCCACCAGCTGCTTCTTGGAAACCCTATGGGACAGTTCTACTCTGTCCTCTAGGGTCTCTGTGAGTTGGAATTGGCTCGACGGCAACGGGTTTTATGTGTTTTCAGTAATGGAGGGCATGCTGAATCAGAGCGTGTCTGAATTTTTGGTAGGTAATATGTTTTTTGTTTTATGCCTCATTCCACAAGTGATAGCCTTGGAGTCCAGTGGTAGATATAGGTACCACCTGTGAACACAAGTTCTATCCCTAGAATCCAAAGGTACCTATGTGTACCAAATAAAAAATCTTCAAAATTCATGCATTTCCTACCAAAAATTCAATGATTTAGTACCACCACCTCATACAATACCCGGTAAAAACAGTAATTTGCAGCATACACCTGTCTTTTCTCCATTTCAAACTGTTATATGGGGCCCTGCCTGCTGACAGCACATGCTGTCAGTGGGGACAGTAGCTTCCCAATGAACCCCAGAGGTACAGAGTAAGTGGTGGCTGTATATACCTCCGGTCCTGAAAAGGTTATTAATCCTCTCAACAAACCTATGTTTATCCTCCTCTTATAGATGAGGAAACAGAGACTCAGAGAGGTTAAGTAATTTATTCAAGGTCAGCTAGTAAATGGCAGAGCATGGATTTACCCTTACCACCCCTCCCAGAGAGAAGTCCATAACCCATCCTTAGCAAACATCACAGAGGTTCTGTACTCACAGACTGAATAGTATCTGTTCATACAGGGATAGTTGTCTCAGTCTAATATTTTGCATTTGAATTGAGACTTGACTACAAAAATAACTGTATACTCTGCCTTTACTTTCTCCCCTTTTCCATTACATTTTCCACTTTGACACATTTCTAAAATACAGAGTAAATCACCTCTTTCTCCCCTTTTCCATTACATTTTCCACTTTGACACATTCCTAAAATACAGAGTAAATCACCTCTTTCCCAGGTTCATGAATGTTCAGTGGCTTCTCTGACAAACCACTTGGCCTGGCACACAGGACTCTGTGATCTGGCCTAGACTCTGTCCACCCGCATTTCCCAATACCTTTTTCCATATAAGACTCCTGAGCAATTTCCTAGCAAGCCAAGGACTTGGATTCTCCCATCTTGAAATCCTCTGTATCCATCCAAGCCAAATCAACTTGAGGGCCCAGTCACATACAGAGTGTATAAAGTGATAAACCAACAATTACTATTACCATATTTGTATGCAAATAACGTGCACCTTCTGCTTTTGTTTGCCAACTGCGCCCTCACCCTGCAAGGTATAAGCCCACTATGCTAATTTTTTTACAGCAACTAGTAAAAAATAATTGGCATAGCAGTGCTTACAAAAATACATCGCAGGGGGAGAGCACGGTTGGCAAACAAATGTAGAAGGTGCGGGTTATTTGCGTAAGAATACAGCATTTATGAAGTAATTCTAAGTATGATCAAGTTCTGTAATACTCACGCAGGTCTGGAAAGAAAGACTGATTGGAAAGGATCTTAGCCTTTTGCAAACACATGATTGATAAAGTTTTCCACGGTAACTTCAAATTCAATTTCAAATTAAGAGAGATCACTTAATATCACTTTTGTTTAATTCTCAACAACTCTAAACCTACCAGAAGGCCTTTGCAGCAGTTTCCACCAAGTGTAGCAGATTCTACTTTGTGTATCATCTCTTCATGTTTAATTATAAGGATCTGAATTTGCAGCACCAATTAATCAGTAATTAAGAAATTAAGCAAAGATAAAAACAAAAACACAACTCAGCACAAGTCTGTATCATCTGGTAATGGTTCATGTAGCACAATAAAAGTACTCCCTGAGAAACATAGGTTATTAACTGAGTTATGAGCAATGTATTCTTTTGTGGTGGTTGTTAGTGACCTGTAATGCCAATGGGAAACTTAAAGGAAATCCAAATATGAAAGCACTCTGATTATATGACTGTTTATTCCTCTTTTCAAAGCCCCTTGAGACCAAGATATAGAAGAAAAAGGCATGATTGTATAGCAAGTCCCTCTAGGAATCAGGGCTGGGCGTGGGGAGACATTCTCCATACAAAGTCATGCCATTTCCCTTTGCCAGGTACATGGGCGTCTTATCTTGGTTCTTAAACTTTTTGTTAATAAGAGAAACAGAAGACGGTCAGCTCCTGCAATCCAACCTTGGAAGAAATGACGGAAGTGGCCTGCTCAGGTGTGCCCCCAACTGGTGTGGAATGATCCTGGCAGCTGGGCACTGGGGAGGGCAAACAGCCAGAGGAACTCCTAGGCCCCACAAGGTCTTTCTTTTTCTCTTTACCCAAGTCTATATAGCAAGCATTTCTCCTTCGAGGGCCCCACATTACTCCTTCCCCCTGTGACCATGACTACATGGGGCGAGTTAGCCATCAAGGTGCTTTAAATTCTTTGCCTGGTGCTATTTCAAGGGGCACTGTTTCTGTAAGAAACAGCCATCACCTTAGTAAGTACTGGGATCTTGCACATTGTGGATACTGTAAAATCCTTATACAGTATGCCAAAGGAAAGAGTAGTTTTCCCCCTAAGTATATGAAATTGTCTTGAAAACGTCTACAGAGTTATAGGAGTGCTTTTAATTGCCAGAATCTGAAAAAAATAATTTGTCTTTTGATGGAATAATTTGCTGAGAAAGAGCATAAGGTGCTTTGAGGAGAATTATAGAAGAGAATTTCAAAGATTCCCATCTTTTGGTACCTTGGATAGAAAGAGTAAACTTTGCTTGGCAGTGGTGTGATATTTTCTCTGGCAGAGACATGGCTAAAAATCAGCATCATGGTAGACAATGGAGCCCTAACTTGTAGTAAGTTTTGTAACTTTGTGGTGAACTTAACTGAGCAGTCCCCAAAATCTTGGGCACTGTTTGATCTTTCTCCCGTCTAGGAATCTCTTTTCCACTGTGTTGCGAAGTGATGCTGTGAAGTTTGATGAATCTCTAAGAGTTCGTTGCTTTTTCAGCACGCATTTGTCAAAGAGACAGTTCATTTGTGGGTACGGCTTCTTAATCCCCTGTTGTGCTTCTTCAACTCTTTCCTAATTTGAGAGTGTTCATCTCTCGGTAGGTGGCACCGTTTTTATGATGTCACTGTACTACACACATTTTTTGCCTCTCAATTTCAACTTGAAATAAGCTCAAACAAGCTGACTCCAGTTCACAATCATCGTTATCATTATGAATCTTTATTCTAGCTAAAATTCGTGAACTAGAGCAACCCCTTCATCTCGATGAGCGCTTACCCGTGGTTCTTCACTTTAACAAGATGGTAACTACTATGACCTATCTTTCACCTGTTATGGTGGGATGAAAAAAGGGGGCCCTGCAATTTAAACACCCCTAATTACATTTCTTCTCCAGTCTCTCCCAAACTCAGAAAATGGCTCCTACTTCCTGCTCGAGCCACAGATCTGGGCATCATCCTTGATTTCTCCTGTTTGCTCATCTCCCACACCCAGTGCATCAGCCAGGCCTGCCAGTTCATTTTCCACTGGCCCCACTCTAGCACGAGCCACCGTTTGTCTGGATTCCCTGCTTATGATCTCCTTTCCCTGAAACCTATTCTCCATGTAGCAGCTCCGGTAATTGTTTAAAAATATCATGTCACGAGGCCTGCTTACATCTTCCACTGACTTCTTGTTTTCCTGACAATAAAGCCCCCATTGTTACAGGACCCCATATGACCAGCTCTGCATCCCTCTCCACTTCTCACACTTTTCGGCCTGTTCTTCACAAATCCCAAGCTCCTTCCTGCTGCCCTGCCTTTACCGTGCTGTTTCTTCTGCTTGGAATGTTTTTTTCTGGCTCATCGTGACTGAGGCCACCTCTCTCTCCACGTGTCAGCTCAATGTCATCTCCTCAGAGAAACTTTTCCTGGCCACCTTAAGAGCAGTCCACTCAAGAGTCCCTATTACGTCCACTGGTTTGTGCCCTTAATGGCACTTGTCACTATCAAATTATTATGTTCCTTTTTGTTTACTGATAACTGTGCGCCTTTCTCCGTTAGGCTATAAGGTCCACGAAGGCAGGAACCTTGTTGGGGAGAGTGCTGACACATTGTCGAAAATGCAACCAACGTCATGGAGCACTTTATGTACAAACTATCTAATGGGAAACTAACGTGCTCTATAAACTTTCACCTAAAGCACACTAAAAATTTATTTAAAAAAAAAAAAGAAGAAACCTTATCTATGTTAACCACCTTATGTCTAGAACAGAGTGTAGCCCGTTAGTACACTCTCAATAGTTTGCTATATGAATGAAATGTTACATGAATGAATCTTTCTCTTCCTAATGCTGTATGACTTTGACCATATCACTTAACCTCTTTGGCGTCAGCTTCCTCACCTATAAATAAGGTAGAGCTAACAAAATCTTGGATTTTCATGGGGAAAAGTTAAAGAAGTAAACATATGCGGTAGCATGTGGCGCATTGCTTGGCCCACGGTAGATGCAGAGCGAGCATAGTTAACACTGCCCTTCCTGTTCTGTAGGAAATCTGCAGAAGAACTGGACATGGACAAGGTAACAGCAGCAATGGTATTAACCAGCTTGTCAACCAGCCCTTTGGTTCGAAGTCCTCCTGTGCGGCCAAATGGTAAGCATGCGTGTGGGCCTGTCTTTGAGAGCTCTCATTCCTGTCAAACACAATGACTGTTTCATCCTTGTCCATTAACAAGAAGCAAGGGGAAACGTGGAAGAAGTAGAAACCCCAGAGCTATCAGCCTCCTCCCAGAGATCCCACTGTAGCTCATTCATACATCCATCCATTCACATTTCTTGAGCTCCATCACATATTTCCTGCTTTTCCAGAATGCATCTCTGCAGTCAGATACCTCTAATGGACTTATTTTCCCTAGCATTATTTCTGTTTGACTGGGGAGGTAAGAAGAGATCAAAAGAACTCAGAAGATTAACTTTTTTAAATGTTTTTAAAAAACAATATCCCAGACTTCTTAATCGAATAGAATGTTTTAGTCCATTCATTCATTCAATGGTATATTCATTTGCTATATTCGTCAAGTACCATTCTAGATTGTTTGAATACATCAGTGAGAAACATTGCCCCAGGTAGGGTGTAATCTCTTTGGAGAAGAAGACTGTTAACTCTATTAATGGCTAACATTCACTGAACACTTGCTGTGTGTCAGGCACTATCTTGCTCTACCGTGTAATCCTCACAACATCTCTCTGAGGTGTTATTATCACTGTTTTACAGATAGGGAAACTGAAGCACATAGGGACTAACTGGCTTGGGAATGGCAGAGCTGAAATTCTACTCCATATCCCTCTGATTCCAGATCCACTCTCTTAATCATGATATAATACTGCCTCATAAAATTCAATATGGTAAATCAGGAGGACAAGGAGTAGGAGATGAAGTCAGAGAGACTAGCCGGAGATCTATCCTGAGGGGCTCTATGTGCCTGACTAGACATTTCAGCTTTATTCTATGAGAGAGTTATTATAGTAATTTCAGTACTATCAAGTCATGTTCAGGTTTATAAGCAAACAACAACAACCAAAAAAAAAACGGATGGGTAGCCTGAACCATGGTGGTCACAGTGGGAATGAGGAGCACATATTTGACAAGTGTGAAGAAGGTAGGATAAACAGGACTTGGAAATGGACTTAGAGGGTGTGTCAAGGATAACTTCAGGCAGTTGGTGTGCTTCAGTGAGGAGGGACCATTCACTATGACAGGGAACAGAGGTAGAGGACCAGACCCATTGGTGAATGTTTAGGGCAGGAGTTGGGGTTGCTGAAGAAGGCCATAAATAGATTGTTTGTACTATATTTAGTAGCCATTGCCTGAGGATCATTCAAGGGACAATGCCTGGTGAGATTTGAGTGCAGCCTGAGAAAGGGATATAGGCTGTTGGTACAGAATAGGAACACAACATTTTGAAGCCATGGAGAAGGTGAGATCGCCCTGAGAGAGTTATGTAGATGCAGAGTGAGAAGGGAAGAGGGCTGAAGAAGAGCCTGAGACGTGACTGGAGAGACAGAGGAAAAACAGGAGTGTGGCGTCTCAGAAGCCAAGGGGAAGATCTGCTGCTTCAGAAGGTTGGTTGTGAAAAGGATTAGAAGGTGCCCACTAAATTCCACATCAAGAACACGGTCACTGGAGGCTTTAGCAGGAACATTCACAGAGCAGTACTCACTGTAATGTACTTTACTGAGACTACTTGATTCCCAACCAGTGCACCTCATGCACAGCCAACACCCATCAGTCAGTGGAGGCTTGTGTGTGGCTTTGATGCTGAACAGGTTTCAGTGGAGCTTCCAAATTAAGATGTAATAGGAAGAAAGGCCAAATCAGCCAATGAAAACCCTATGGATCACAACAGTCTGATCCACAACCAATCATGGGAGTGGCACAGGACTGGGCCGTGTTTCATCCTGTTGTGCATGGGGGACCATGAGTTGGGGGGCTGACTCTACAGCAGCTGACAGCACCATCCACCTGAATGAAACTTACCAGTAGTAGAAAACCTTCCCTCTAAAGTCAGCATAGTCAATTATGAAACTGAGCTGTGGCTGAAACACAGTTCAACTGTAAGCATGAGGTGTGAAATTTGTTTACTATCCAATGAAAACATCCTCTAATCCATCTAATCCAGTTGTAAGTGGGGAAAAATGATCAGGGTGAAGGGTGTTGGGAATTCAAATCAATATTATAAATCAATAGTGCCCATCATGATGAGTCACCCCAAGCTGGAGTGACACCACCTCTGTAGAAGGGACTAGATAAGATGCTCTTGAGATGAGCCTTATTTAATGACCTGACATCCCTTCTGGGGGCCACTCAGCAAACAGATATCCTGATTCATCTTTCTCAGTTTGCAAGATCTGCTAAAGAAGGAAGCTAGTAGAAACAAAAATGTGAAGGCACCCCCAGAACCTATTTCAGGAAAAAAAGAATTGCAGAATTCCATGGAATCCTCAGAGGAAAGAAAGTATATTTCAAATGTAATCATTGTTTTTAACCATTTTTTTTTAAATTGAGAACATTGTTAATGTTCCCTTGTATTGAAAGGTTAAAATTAAAATAAGCCTTTCTGCTTCTTCAATACAAACTTTTTTAGACAATAACTCAGTGTTTGTTTATGGTTAAAAAAAATAATGACTCAACTAATAACTAATAATCCCAAATTGTTTGATATGGCTCATTTAGTCTGAAACAAGAAACAAATGCTTAGTTTTATAATGAAGGCATTCTATTTTTTAGGAAGAAACGATTTTTCTCCAGAATTATTATACATCAGGGAATTTACAGCAACTGTTCTGACCCTTTTGTGTGTTTGAAAAGGATCATTCTGTCAGGATACAAGTCTGCCAAGGGGCTGAGATTCCAGCAGTGCCTGTCCGCATCGTTGGCAATTCCTTGTTTAAGACAAGGAGAGGCCGCCCCCTAAGGAATTAAATGAATTGGTCCTGACTTTCTTCTGAAAAACTCATTTCTCTATCACTTTGTCCTTTTGATTAAATAGTATTTCTAAAGGAAGTGTCATTCACAAGCCAGTAAGAACGTTAACTTTTGGCACTGACCTGAAGTGATGTCAGGAAGTAATCGTTGTTAGTTCTCAAATTAAATTCCGTTCCTCGTAGTTAACATGATTACAGATCTAGCACCATGAGCTTTATTTACAAGTGCGTGTTGAGGTGTAGCCCCCAGGGCCTGCCAAGTGGGCTCGTCATAGCAGCTAATATCACGCAAGCTTCACATTAGACTTCTTTAAAGTCGTGTTGTATTGAATGGAACTTTCTTGTTTACAGTAGGCAACTTCAGGTCCGGGAGTGCAGTGGTCTTCTGTGTAGGCTGCAGGGAGTGAGGGGCTCATTTGGTGGTGTTGATGCTGAGAGGGCAGGAGCCTGCCTAAATCACTAGTATTTGATGCTCATTGCTTTAATGAGATGGGTAACTTACTTCTGCTATTTCAGTTTACAACCTCACTCTTCTGACTGAACCTTTTACTTGACATAGTTGAAGAATATGCTGGGAATCCGTAATTAGGTGAAATCCGTAATTAGGTGAAGGTAATCAGGAAGTTTTACTGTGAATGCTAGCCTACCGTTCATCTTTACTACTAATTACATATTCGTTAACAGCATTTTTTTAATGAGGCATTTGGGGACTTTTTTTTTTCCCTCCTTGTAGTTAGAATATAGTTTTCATATATTCAAAATGCACATAAATATGGAAGAGAAATTACCCCAAAAGAAAGTAGGATTAATACAAGTGCTAATTAAGATTGGGCATCTTGAAAGGTAAAGCAAATCGTCAGTGATTAAAAGACCCCTGAAGACATTCTGACTGGAGCAAAGATCTCCCCACCTTAGCAAACATTTCATGATGTTTGACATAAGTAGAAAGGTAAATTATTAGTAATTATTTCCAATAAATTCTTATCTGATCCCAGCTTTGCAGGAGTGAAAGGAGGATGTCTACAACTCAAGGCCAGCGTTGGCTGAAGGAAAGAGGGCAATTGGGAGATCAGGGCTGGGGTCCAGATGCCCTAGGGTGACTTCCTAGTCACAGGCCTTGGGCAGGTCACTTCCAGGTGCCTCAGCGTTCTCATCTGTGACGCAGTGATGATCCTTACTCTGAGAGACAGATTTGTGAGGACCCATGAGATAGTCTGTGTGAATGAGCTTCGTAAAACGTAAACCACACACAATAAGCAACATGGTGAATGGCTTTATCTAGGTAACTATCCAGAAATTATTATTTTTCTTAGATTCTTAAATCTTAGACTTTTTCTGTAAATGTATATTCAAAGGATCACAAGCCCCATGGGAAGTTGCTTTAAAAACAATTAAAATAAGGGAAGGGAGAATTCTGTGACAAGACACCTTGGGAGAACCCTGCAGTCAGTACACCAACAGTTCCCCACATTTAGGAACAGATTGCTATTTTTTTTCCTATAATCTCCACTCACATCCCAAGGCACTAGACTTAAACATACCTCAGAAAAGTCTTTCTTAGAAAAACGTAAGGTATCATGTGGTTAAAATAACTCGATGTTTATAAACTATAGTGCAACTCTTTTTAAGCATAAATGGAATAAAAACTTACATAGCCAGCTGTTGCAAATTACCGAGTAGGCTGCAGGTGCTTTGACAAGAGTAAGTTTCCCACTGTGAATCGTCCTTGGCTCACATAAGAGGTCCCAGTACTGACGCTGTGTTTGTGCTGATGAACAGAGGGCCTCAGTGGATCCTGGAAGGAAGGAGGTGGTGTGCCTTCCAGCACCAGCAGCAGCGGCTTCTGGAGCTGGAGTGCCCCCAGCGACCAATCCAACCCATCCACGCCATCCCCGCCGCTCTCGGCCGACAGCTTCAAACCCTTCCGCACCCAGGCTCAGCCAGACGACGGCATCGACGAGTCAGAGGCCAGCAACCTTCTCTTTGATGAGCCCATTCCCAGGAAAAGAAAGGTTTGTCAGACACACCATTTTCTATTTTCAGTTATGTGAACGTGCTTTCTGTTCCCCTGTGAAGGGTCAGTCTGAGTTTAGGGCTCACAGCCCTCTAACCTGTACCCCATTCTGATAAACAGAAATAGCTTAGTTCTCATAGCTTAGTTCTCCTTTGATATGCTTTGAAATTTCAAAATGAATTCCATCACCAAAAACAAAAATGATTAAGATATTGATAATGTTTCTTCAAAGTACACATGCTGCATCCTCTGGTTATAAGTCACTGCATTGGTGCAAAGGGTTGATAATATAAGGTCACCTAGCAGTTCCCAGTATTTGGAAGTTAGAAAATTAGACTACTGGACTACTGGCTGGGTTTTTGGTCATTAACTCAGTCTCTTAGTGGGACTTAACTTTTCTCATATGTAAAATGTAATTAATATTTTTTTTTCTGCTTCAGTCTGCCCTGAAGGCTTGTTGGGAAGAATATTTTGTATCTCATTTTTATAAAACCAGATGTGAAATAATACATAAAAGCAGACATATAAACACATGTACCTACATACCAAAAAATACTAAATAAAAGTGAAAAAGGAGATCTAATTAATTTAAAAAATTAATTGATTACATTTTTATCTACCTGTCACAGCAGTCCTGAACAGTAAGTCTTATTTTCCTGTCTTCAGAGGAGGAAACTGAGGGTCAGAGAGATGATACATTTAACTAAACCACGTCACGGAGGTTAGAAAGGTCCAGAACCCCTATTCAAACGTACATCTGCCACCTAACCCTCATGTTCTTTTCACTCTCTTCAAGTATGTCATGGATTGAATTATGTCCCCCTAAAATATCTGTCAACTTGGCTAGGTCATGATTCCCTGTGTTGTTTGACTATCTACCATTTTGTCATCTGTTGTGATTTTCCTATTTGTTTTAAATCTTAACTACTATGATGTTGATGAGATCTACAAGACAAGATTAGATGTGTCTTAAGCAGTCTCTTTTGAGATATCAAAGAAAGAAGTGAGCAAAGAGACATGGGGACCTTATACCACCAAGAAAGCAGCACCAGGAGCAGGTCCTTTGGACCTGGGGTTCCTGCATGGAGAAGCTCCTAGACGAGGGGAAGATTGATGACAAGGACCTTCCTCCAGAGCTGACAAGAAAGAAAGCCTTCCCCTGGAGTTGATGCCCTGAATTTGGACTTCTACCCTACCAGACAGTGAGAAAATAAATTTCTCTTTGTTAAAGCCATCCACTTGTGGTATTTCCATTATAACTGCACTAGATAACTAAAACAAAGTACGTTTAAATTATTATGTTCACTCATAACTTTTTTCAAAAGTATTTCTACTTCAAAGAATAAAGCTGTGTGACTGCTGTATCTTGAAAACATTTTAACATCATTTGAAAGTCACTGTGTAAATATGAAACTGTTATTTATTGTTTTAATCTTGGTGTAGGTAGCTTCATTATTAATGACTATTAACAAACAAAAACCCAAAGCAAAACCCTGAGGACTGCAATGCATCATTTTTCCTCAATTCATTTCAAAGAGGAAAACAAAGAGATGGCATTGATCCAACATCTTCCCTCCCAGCATCTCTCTTCACATCACTCAGCACGTGTAATGGAGGAGGTTGTACTCACTCTGGTGTGTCCATGTGGATAAGGGCCAACCTTCTGGTCTCCGGCTCATTTTACCTAGATAACAGCAATAATGTCCTGCCCTGTCAAGAGGCAGTCCCATGACGGGTTGCTGTTTCTCACCATTCCCTAGGGCAGAGGGGCTAGAGTTGTTCTGGCATCTTGTGGATCCCCAAGGAAACTATGCATTTCCTTGACCAGTCAGGGAGAGAGGCCAGCACGGGGTTCCTGTAGGCAGGACCGAAGTATACACCTGAAGCCTCTTCCTGTTGTTTCGGGCTGCACAGCCAGCCCTCAGCAGTCTCTCTCTCTGGGGTCATCTGAGGGTGCAGTCCTGAACCTCACAAAGCATGGCCTAGTGTTGGGGCAAAGACCCATAGCACGAGGAGTCCCCCAACCCCAGTGCTTTTTTAAGGTGCACTGCTGAAAGTCCATCACAGCCTGACATCTCTGATGTAGTCACTGAGCCCAGATTCACACTCTTACATTACAGTTAGTTAGGTTGCACTGGTCAGGCTTGTATTTAAAATCTGTAGGCTTCTTCTAATTTAGATTAGTCAGGTCACCAAAGGAAAAGAAAAATAGCTTCATTACAAAATGGCATATACCTGGAGGGCACAGACCAACTCCACAAGATACTGGAGAGAAGGAATGAATGAACAAATAAGAACCGTGTTTATCCTTGTTTCTTTATGGCTTCTCCCTCTATTCAGACCCTGGATTTCCCCCAGGGTAATACTCACTTACTTACTTAGGACGCACCATCAGAAGACACCAATCTCTCTAGAAAACTACATCATGTTCGGTAAAGTAGAGGGTCAGCGAAATTGAGAGAAACCCTCAATGGGGTGGACTGACACAAGAGCTGCAAGAATGGACTCGAAGTTAGCACAAGACCAACGTTATGAATCGGAGCCAACAGCAATTAATGGCACCATCACCACCACCAAGTAGGATGGAGCTGGCAGTCACTAATTTCAAACACATGGCTCTTACATAGACTAACCTGTTGTCTTGGCCTTTTGAACTTAAAGTTACTTTGACTAGTGAGAGTAACAAGAAAATGGGACTGTTACCATTCATTCTCTTTATTAAGTGAACCAAAATTTATTGAGCACCCAGCGGGCAAAATGCTGATGCCCTGAGAATAAGACACAGCCCCTCTCTTCAAGGTATTGACAGCTGGGTAGGTGGGGACTGATACGTAAAGAGCCAATAATAATTATGGCTGTGCCCAGGATGTAGTAAGACCACTTAAGAGGGACACCCCACTCTGTTTTGGGGGGAAGTGGAAGGCTTCCCAGGAGAGGTGACAACTGCATCCTGAGGGATGAACAGGAGTTGGTCAGACAGAGAGTACAGGGAAGGATGTTTCAGACAGAAGGAGCAACACCTGAAAAGGTCCAGTGCTAGCACTTTAAGGGAGTCTGAAGAAGTTCAGTATGAATGGAGTATAGAATGGGGGAGGGGACTGAATGACGAGGGTAAGCAGGGAACAAATGGACAATGGGAAACAAACATAGGGATATAAATAGAAGAGAGATGTGAAATATCAGAGGGAGTTAAACAGGAGAGAAACATGGACCTTATGTATCTTAGAGACATCGCTTTCAACTGTGGAGAGTGGGTCAGAGAAGTGACCTTCAGAAACTGTGGCTTTAGTGCGCGTGAGAGATAATGGTGGCCTAAAACAGGAGGAAAGGCCCTATAATGAGTGTATTATCCCAAAATGAAAATGAATCCAGGAACATTGGAAGTCATCACAAATGAAACAGAGTGCTTGAAGATAGACATCCTAGGCGTCAGAGAGCTGAAATGGACGGGTATTGGCTATTTTGAATCCGACAATAATATGGTTTACTATGCCCGTAACGACAAATTGAAGAGGAACGGAGTTGCATTCATCATTAAAAAGAACATTTCAATATCTATCCTGAAGTACAACACAGTCAGTGATAGGTTGATATCCACAGGCCTACAAGAAAGACCAATCAATACAATTATTATTCAAATGTACACACGAACCACAAATGCCAAAGACAAAGAAATTGAAGATTTTTATGACCTGCTGCAGTCTGAAAGACTACAACCTACAGTACAGATTACACCTGAATGTAAAGAAAACCAAAATCCTCTCAACTGGACCAATAAAAAACATTATGATAAATGGGAGAAAAGTGATACTGTTAAGGATTTCATTCTACTTGGATCAACACTCGTGGAAGTAGCAGTCAAGAAATGAAGCTACACATTGCACTGAGCAAGTCTTCTGGAAAAGGCCTCTTTAAAGTTCTAAAACGCAAAGATGTCATTTTGATGATTAAGGTACACTTAACCCAAGCCATGGTCTTTTCAGTCACCTCATATGCATGTGAAAACTGTATAATGAAAAAAAAATACAGAAAAAGAACTGATGTATCTGAATTGTGATTTTGGCAAAGAATGTTGAATAGACCATGGAGTGCCAGAAGAACTAACAAATCAGTCCTAGAAGAAATAAAACCAGAATGCTCCTTAGAAGTGAGGATGGCAAGGCACATCAGGGAAGACTAATTCCTTCAGAAGGACATCGTGTTTGGTAAAGTAGAGGGTCAGCAGAAATGAGGAAAACTCTCAGTGACATGGATTAACACAAGAGCCTCCACAATAGACTCAAACATCGTAGGTCTGGGAGATGGTACAGGGCAGGGCAACATTTGGTTCTGTTATACGTAAGGTCACCACCTTGAGTCAGAGTGAGCTTGTCATCACCTAACAACAACATCCCTGATGTCACTGAGAGAGTGGGAAGTGAAATGGAATTACTTATTTTTTCTAAATTATAATAGCCAATTTTACCAATATTTTTGACCTAGAGTAGGTGCTTCATAAATGCTCAACTGCTTGTTTTCTTATTCATCTGTGATCGCTCCTGTTTTCATTTTAAAAGCCCATCTATGTGAACATTCTGAATTGCTAGGTTCTGGGCTTGTGGCTTCTGATCCCATATTTACACAGACATTTATTTTGGCTCAAGGGTGGTCCCAATAGTGATTGTGTGTGAGTAACGCTGGAAAGTCCCAGGATCAGCAAAAACTTTCCCCAGCAGTCCACGCAAGACTGCCATGACCCGTGGTGATTTGTTAGACACTTCCTCAGCTTGAAGCTGCAGTGATTAAAATTATGTATGAAACTAATTTTCTGCACTGTGATACAGTTAATTTACAGTGTTTAAAATCATATTTCAAAAGGTTTCTAAAAGTTAATTTGCTTAAACCACATAATACATTCTAGTTGGTAGAACTTTCTGAGTTCACTTTATTATACTTTACATTCACTTATTTGATTCATAATATGCATTTGAAACCATGGGCAATTGTGTTAGTCACGTG